AAATCACAAATTTTTTAGGTTGAAACTTTTTTATCGATCAAAATTATTAAATTAATTGATCACCACTTTTTTGGTCAGAAATCACACATTTTATAGGCCAAAACTTATATAACCTATAATTTTGTTACTCGTGACTTGTAATATAAAATGTAACCTATAAATTTGATCTATGACTTCTACGAAATGACATGTAACCTATAAGTATTGATTTGTGACTTGTTTATGTTAAGGGAATATAATCCCACATCGATAAAATACCGAAATAATGACCAATATATAAAGGATTGGGACACTTCTCTTAATAAGGTTGACCTTATTAAGATGGACCCCAAATCTTAACATGGTATCACAGCCCATTAAACTCCAACGAACGATTCGATTAAGTCTCTAAAAATGAGCACACGGATTTCAAGATTGGTCTGCTCAAATGAGCCACCATCTTGCGGGGGCATGTTAAGCGAATATAATCCCACATCGATAAAATACCGAAATAATGACCAATATATAAAGGATTGGGACACTTCTCTTAATAAGGTTGACCTTATTAAGATGGACCCCAAATCTTAACATGGTATCACAGCCCATTAAACTCCAACGAACGATTCGATTAAGTCTCTAAAAATGAGCACACGGATTTCAAGATTGGTCTGCTCAAATGAGCCACCATCTTGCGGGGGCATGTTAAGCGAATATAATCCCACATCGGTAAAATATCGAAATATTGATCAACTTAAAAAGATCTTGGACCACTCCTCTTAACAAGGTTGACTTTATTAAGATGAACCCCAACTCTTAACATAAACGGACTTATTTTGGTTATGCCTATTTTCAAGTGTGTCTGTTCTGACTTAACAAACAAGCCGTTGTGTTATTTTGTCACTTCATCATGTCAATTACATAGTTTTTTGAACTACTCCAGCATTACCAACTTACAGCCCAACCACATATCCCAAATCAAAAGTAAAATCAAAACCACAGCATACCAATCATAAATCCAACAATCTGAACTCCATCTCCAACTATCACATCATTACCTTCTACAATAATTTTAAGAACATCTTCTGTAAGCTTTCAAGCATCGCATATAAAAAATCTTGACATATTTAATTCCTCACAGCAGCATCTACTGATAAATAATTATTCTAGAATCAATAATACCATATGAGATCTGAATTTCCTCTTGAAAACTATCGTTGACGATTTGCCTTGACCTCAGGAAAATGTAGAAGACACTATATTAGCAATTATTCTGATCTTGCAAAAGAAAAGTTAACTTGAAAGTTGTAAAATTGTGGGGAATGGGATGGGTTGGTTTTTAAATTAATAAAATGTATATACAATTCTCTTATCATCACAAAGTACAACGTAGAACCAGAGGGATTTTCATCTGAAAATCGCAAACATAAGCAAAAGTCTAACAGAGTAATCGATAATTTTGTAGAATTTCAAATGAGATTAAAAGGGAGAGTCCAAGGGGTGGACCTGGGGACCTCAATTTTATCCTTGATGTGGTCGATTTTCTTTTCCTTCTTAGACCTTGCATTTTTCGTATGACCACTTGAATGTCTTTACCCTTCTCGTCTTCTTATCGCCTCGCCAACACAGGATCGGAGCACCCGGAGATGAGGATGAGGAGAGGGAGGAAAATGCGAACCGCTGCTCGACAGCCGCCATAACCCGCTGCCCTGCCACACCATACCATCGTCGAGACACTCTTACGTCGTGGTGGTGGTAGCGATGACTTGGTTTGACGGTAGGCGGGTGGTGGTGGGTACGATGTGGTGGCACAGAGAGGAGGGAGAAAACGGGTTGGGGATGAAATGGGGGTGGGTTGAGGGTTGGGTTAATTATAATTATTAAGGCTTAATTACCACCTGATTTGTGAAATGAGAATTTATTTCCTTGTTTTTTGAAAATTAATCTATAGACGTAGGTTTCTAGGTAATTTTCTCAAGTATAATTTCCCCTCAAGGCCCACAATTCATTTAAAATTGTGAACTTCAATCCTTAAGACCAATAAATTATGCACCTAGTGTCCTTTAATTCCATTCAAGCCTCTCAATCTCTAACATGTGGAAATTCATCCCCAAAACGTTCATTCAATGACCAATTTATTGTTCTTTCTTTTCTAATTGCTTCAAGACGGGTCTATCACTGAAAACAAAAGAAAATTAACCCAAACTAAGTAAAAATCAATAATTTGACGGCAAAAAAGTTTACTAATATGGCCTAAATAAGTGTACAAATTGCACTTATCATAATAATTTATCTGTTTTACATCTTCAACAGAATAATTTAAGAATTGCCAGCAAAAACAGATAAAGGTTGGAAGAAAACTCAAAAATATATATAAAAAATTTTACAAGTTCATTAGAATTTTTCAGCAAAACTGTAGAGTTCGACTTACAGATCTTTTGTATTCTTTGTACGTGTTAACAGTGGTCTGTATACAAGAACCTAGTTTCCAAAACAGAGAGGTAATCTTTTTTCTATTATATGAAACCCAATGTAATTCAATGTAGTTCTAAATTGAAGCTAAAATGTAGAGCTTGCTCTTATGGATTTCAGGGAAGTCTTGATACAGAAAATTAAAGACACATACAAGGAAATTATTGGAACCAGCTGAAGGAAAATTGTGGAAAAATGCTGCAGCTCGGATAAGGAAAGATACGTGGTAGTATTGCACTTCACCCATGACCGTGCTTCTTTTTGTTAACTTAATTTGTAAACAATGAAAAATCTTATGTTTTTAAGCTGTACTCACTTTCATTTCACTTGTCTCTTTGAACGAGAAGCAGTTAAGTGACAGTAACGTTCTAAATAAGAGAAAACTATTTCGTATTTATTTGATATATTTATCCTGATCACTCTTCAGACAAATAAGCAGTCTAAAATGGAGTTTATAGCCAGATTCGATCGAAAAGAGTTCATGTTTTAATATAACAATCTCGAAACATATTTATTTAAATCCATAACTGGAACGTAGTTTTGAGCATCATAACAAGATAAACTGAAGTTCGCAAACAAGAAACACGCCACAATCCAGAAATCTACTTATGGAATTCCATGACCCAAAAGTTGCATACAGAACAGTACAATCTTATTCCTGAAAATCCCGCTCCCTTCGCTAGGGCAAGAAACTCGACTTCTGATCGCTCTTTGCCCCCCGGATCTTGAGTCAGCATGACCATATCACATTGGATCGTGCTAACCACAGAGCTACTCGTATCGGGTTTCACGGGAAGAATTGCGTCAACAACAATTACCTTTCCATCTTCAGGTAGAGCCTTGTAGCAGTTCTTAAGCAATTTCAAGCAGTGATCATCACTCCAATCATGTAATATCCACTGTCAAAAAATAGTTACCTGATTTAGATACAATGCCTCCGTATGTACTGCTAAAATATCTGATAAAAATCTAAGTTAAACAACAATTAATTTTAACCACGCATTTTATAGGATCCACAACTTTTCAACCACATATTTCATCAAGTTTTATCAAATTCTAGTAAAAAACTGATTTTGATCTCTATCAAACACGGGCAATACCTTCAAAACTGATAAACAATCTGCAGCATTAAGTGGTCGATGAAGACGGAGATGCTAAGGACACGTTGATTTAAGTCCTTTAAATTTTTAGATTTATGTAATATATGTTAGTTTTATACATTTTAATATAGGACACAACACATGACATATTTTCCACTTGTTCGAGTGGTGTCCCTAAACCCTTGTTCGAGACCCATTTTTGGGGAGAAATGTATTTTAGAATAGTCATTTTCTTTTTGGAAAATTTGTAGTTAAAGAATGGAAGGAAAAAAAAAACTTTCGATTTGCGTATAAAATTATTTTATGGAAGAATGTGTAGTTAAAAATGAGTTTTGAAAAAATAAAAAGAAGGAAGGCCAAGCATAGGCTAAATATTCTACATAAAAAATATGACACCACGTACGACTTGTTGGATACATAACCTGAAGTGTCTTGAATAGTGTCGGGTCGGGGCCCACAAATACTGTTATACATATGTAGCCCCTGTTTGGCCCCATTATTTGAATTTATAATGGGGGGATAATATTTTTTTGAAGATTGTGTGGTTGAAAAGTTTTCGATTTGAGTGTAATATTATTTTATTGAAAATTGTATGGTTGAAAGTAGGAGAGAGAAAAAATTAAATTAAATTGAAGACTTTTAAAGGTGGCCAAACAGGGGCATAAACAACATTAATATCATTGCATCTACCACTAGCCACTAACACAAATTTAATTATCAATGTGGAAATTTTCAGCTTACTTTCATGAAAATGGCATCTCCTACAGGAACACTTTCAAACATGTCTCCTCCAACATTTTTGACACCTGCATTCAAAATTTAACTTCAATTCTAAGCATTATTAAGCTTTTGCTAATTAGTAAACGAGATCAAAAGAACAAAATCATACCAGGATAAGATGGTGCCTCTCGTATAACATGTGGCAAATCGAAATTGATACCACTAATGGTGGGATATCTCGTTGTGATCATGTTGAGGGTGACGCCAAGACTCCCACCTACATCGACCAAAGTTTTGAGGTGGTCGAAACCTTTGTAGTGCTTAAGAATTTGTTTCATAACTATAGTTGTATGATTTGTCATTGCCTTGTTGAAAACTTGATTGAACCGAGGATCCTTTCCAGGATATTCAAATGCATGAGTACCATGAACCTTGTCAAATGGAACACCTCCTTCAAGAACCGCATCTTTTAATTTGTACCTATTATGGGGCTAAATCACATAAGTTGATCTTGTAATCTTAACAAGTTAAAAATATTCCAAATCTCTCATAGTTTTTAACATTGACCAAAATTTGATTGGATTTTCGTAAAAATATTGTTTCCTTTACCCTACGCGTTTTTTAATACTCTTTCCATATTTAAGAATATTGTAAGTTAAAAATACGTCCAGTATATATGGTTAGCTCATATTTACGAGTTAACATATTACACAAATTAGATAATATTGTAAACACAATATTCTTTGCATTCTTTCTCTGTTTCTCTGTTCTTTTGTATTGGGATCGCTATTTCATATTTTATCATATATCTCGCTTGCTATTAACAAGTGGTAGCATCCAACACATACATAATTTTTGTTAATTCCGCAGCAAACATGAATCTTTCGATTAATTCAGATCAATTACTTGGTGTAAACTATGGATTAAAAAAACTAACCCGCTGTCAATGAAGACCTTATCCTGAAGCAAGGCCATGAGAGGGCAAAGTGATACCTCATCTTCATTCTTCACAAAGTATTTGGCGACTGGTGCCAGCCCATAACGTCGTTGGCCATCACTGACGGAGCAAGTAAGCACTGAGTAGCTTACGAGGAGCCGAAGCATCCGATCGAGCATGGCAGGTGCATCGGAGTTTGTAGTGGGCATATGGGACGAAATCTCGTGAGGAAACATTTGTGAATCAGGACCAGCTTTGGCAAGAATTTCGAATAAATTCAGTTCCATGGCTGCATTCAACACCATGGGTAGCACTGAAGAAGTCACGAGCTGCATTGCATGTGCGAAGCGTTTTGATTCTTCGTCATCATGGGCTGGAGTTTTTGCTAAAATCTCCATGGAACCGTGTTCTGCCATTAGTAATGTTTACTGAAGTGGAAATGCCTGTACTTGCCAAAGTTTTTAGTGAAGTCGAGAGTTGTTGTTAATGTTATTATTTATAGATGAAATACTTGTGTTTCAGAGTGGATTTTGATATTCTTGGGAGAAAGTCTTTAGGCGATTCAAATGGGCGTGGTTTGGTTTGGGTCGGTTTCAACTTCAACCCGAAACAAAAATCATATTAGTCGGTTTGGATAAATTTCAAACCAAACCAACCGACTCTAACTCTTAGACCGAACCGTTTGATTTGGTTAATCGGTTTCGACTCTTAGTCCAAATTAAACTTCTTAAAAGAAATTGTCCAAATTTTAGGCACACTTAAATTATAAGAACTAAAATAACCAAATAATTTTATATTATAAGAACTATTGATTAACAAATGAAATCAGGTTAATAGAGATGGATCAAATAGAAAACTTAATTTATTTATTTTTTTATGTATTATATTATTTGACTACCTAAATAAGGGGAAAAAATGCTAATTATAACATAATAAACTTGTGAAAGAAAATTTTTAGTGCTATTACTTATCGACAACATCATAGATTGGAGGAAATCGAGATATAATTATAATATTAGAGTTTATCTTTTAATTTTTATTTTTCTTAAATTAAAAAAAAAAAGTGAGTTGATTTGGTTTGGTTAACCAATGGTTTGAGATTTCAAACCATGATTAAATTGACTCACCATAGTTTTGTTTAAAAGAAAACAAAATCAAATCAATTACCTATGTCGAACCGACTCGAGTCGGTTCGATTTATTGGTTTGGTCAATTTTTCGATTTTTTTTGCCCGGTCCTAAATTCAATCATAAAGAAAGAGATCATGTTTTGCCAAATTTAAGTGCTTTCCCATTTTTCCAAAAAATTATTTTTCTCCAAATTTATTTTCAATCATATTCACTCAATAAAATACTTTTACACATAAACTCAAAACTTTTTTCTACTTTTTTAACTATACATTCTCCAAAAAAATCACTATCACAAAATACATTCTCAAAAAAAAAAAAAATGGAGATCAAACACGTCCTAAAGTTAATCCTAAAATAAAATTGACATATCTAATAAGTTCTTATGAAGAAAAAATAAAAATTTCCAATGATTAAAAATAATT